CTTATAGGGACTAGTGTGCTCTTATCACTACGACTGATTTAATTCTATTGTGTTTTTGTATTTGACCCTAATAAATTAGTGCTGGTTGGTAGATTGTATTCACATGTTTCGACTTGCAAAATGTGAACTTAACAGGATTATTTGAAAGAGCAACACACAAGTTTCTTACTTATCCTTCTTCTGATGAGACAGCTTTCCGAATGAGCGGTAGATTAAAAAAAAATTTCTGACTATTGAAATTCAAAGGTGCTTAAATGAAGTTTATTTGAATAAATGATTTTCTATTCTATTCTACTTATTTGTAATGATATGCACCATGTTATAAGTGAAACTCCGAGGTAGATATTTGTACAAAGTCATCTGCGTGGGTCTCTATATCTCTTTTATTAATTCGGATGCCAAGCATATTGCTTTGTAAAATACATACAGGGTACGGAGGCAGAATATACCACAGTCCTTTCAACGGATGAGGGCTACATACTTACTTAATATCGTGATGTCCGCAATGATGTTGGTATATATATAGAGGCAATAGTAGGCACTTGCCATCAAATGGGCCGTTTGTTTTCCTGTTATATAAAAACCTAATAAATTAAATACCTAAGTCTAGTAAATATTGTTGTACAATCCGCTTTATCCATATCGCAGCATCAAAAATAGGGAGATAACAGAATATACAATCTATATAAAAACTGAGTAACTATACAATTATGTAGTTACCTATACATATATTAATTTCCGTAATATCTTCATAGCTTACATTGCTTACTTCAAATGGAACCACTTCTGAACGCGTCCATCTGGATTACTCTGTACCCTTTGCATCTAGGAAAAATATAGATACTTGGAAAATTGCTGCGTAGTTCTGTAAATGGTTAAGATGCATGTGTATCTATCTGCTACATAACATCTTATTTTTTACTATTAATAATTTATTTGAAACGCTTATTTAATGACAAAGAAAAAAAAGTAACGAAAAATTCATAAAATTACATAAGCATAAAGCTGTAAATAGGTAATGAAAATTGTTTAAAAATATATCAACATACCATACTTCATATGTATTGTTAAAGTAAATTGTTAGATATTTATTTAAATAAATAAATCTAACAATTAGAGTTAGACAACTAGATAGTTATAATAGTGCCATATCCATAAACTTTAAGATTTCGATATAGTGATATGACTCGTTACTTCTTTATTATAATTCGAATTCAATAGCCTTAAATGCTAATATAAGTATATGGAACTTTGATTATAACATATTACTGGCCTGTTAATATACTTGTACTTATATTAACCACTGATCATATATTATCTGTATGGCTTGTGTTTCATAACACCATCTTACTAATATTAGAGACGTGTAAGTTTGTGAGTAAAAGAGTAACAAACATGCATTCAGGATGTTTGTTACTCTTTCACGCAGACACTACTGAACTGATTTTGATGAAACTTTATAATAATATAGCGGATACATCAGAAGAACATATATATATATATATAGTTGAAACCCCGCGGACGAAACCGCGGGGTTTCAACTATACTTAGTATAATAACTATAAAAGATTCTATGATTTTATTTAAAGCATGGTTAATAATTCATAACATAATATTATTTTTATACTTGTAATAATATCATGCTGCTCATTTGTGTTCTAAGTTTCGTTATTTCTTATTAGAAAATATCAAATAAGTAAGTAAGTAATAACAAGAAATTCTACTGAAATCTTGAATTAACTTCTGGATTGTGTAATGGAGGAAAATAGAAGAATCCAAAGACGTTCTTAAATAAATTGAGCTGAAAAGTTAAATGTCTGAAAACAGATGTTGGAAATCAGAGATAAATTTAGCAAGTTTTTTGTGTGTTTTCTCTGTTACAATATTATATTAAGTTGATTAGTTATGAAAACGAACCCACAGTAATTTAAACATTCGTCACATTTACAGTTCTATGTGAAATAATATTTGTTTAACCTACTGATGTTGATTTCCCGGCCTCGGTAGTCAAATGGTTTAGTACACCGTCTTATTTCCGATGATCGCGGGTTCGATCTCACGGTCCAAACATTTTTATCCATGTAGTTGGTCTGTGTTTTTTCTATGTACACTAAGTACTAACAAAGATCTTAAACTATTATTTGGATATCTGCGATTTAATTATAGTTTAATGAACGGATGGATTAAGATTGAATCCAGTATCATAGAGAACCAATTATTTTCAAGTTAGGTACCTAACGGATTTGCAGAGAAAACCGATTGATTTGCATCCTTACACATAGTATTCTCTTCATTCTTTTAATATATCTCTTATATAATACACTTACTATATATGTGATTTTATCATAAAAATAAGAAAATGAAAATGATTTAATTATATGACAATTAAAAATTTTGGGTCTATATTTCATAAGACAGCCTCAAACCGAAGTACATCAATACACACGTTGCACCAATAGGTAAGATTATAATACCAATCCCCGCAAATCATTCAAAATATTACCAGCAATAATGGGATTTACTTAAAATAAATTACATGGGCAAAATGTATATCAAAAGAATTGGCTATAATTTCAAGGAGATTAAATATAATACCGGATAATGTCGATCAAAACGGAGATTTTACACAAAGAAGCAAAATAAAATAATGTTAATATAGAATACCTACAATTAGAATACCTTAGTATTATTATCCTTCATTATTGTTACAACTGTCCCTTGTTCTGTGATCGCCGTATGATTGTAATCGCCAGTTAGTATTATATTCTTATGATTATCTACACTGGTCGTTTGCTGTCAAACGGAATATGGACACTAATATTACCTATTAAAGAAATATATTTTTCCTTCTTATTAGCGATAACCGTTTACTTATACACAATTTTTATTCAACACCAACGCAATGTTGTTTTATATAACATTAGGAAATATGAGCAATAAATACATTGTGTAAGTTAAGATTGTTCTCCAAATAGCATGAATATTATATTTTGGTAGCAGACACGCCGCCTCTTTGGTAGCGAGAAATCAAGATGAATACTTCACAACAGTATTTCTACTGAATGGTGATGTTCAGGATGCCTCTTTGTTGCCACGAATCGAGTTTTGACTTGTTTTATTCGATTTGCAATACAACACGCACGTTGCCACATAACTAAATTGGGAAAAGAAATTCGCACATCTAGCCATTACGGGGACGTGTATAAATGTATAAAGGAAAACACAGAGCCTCAATTAACTTTGCTGAGATAAATGTTGGCCCTAAACTGAGGCAGTTGAGCCGGAAGAGTCGCTTCATTCACCGTCACGGTTATTTTTTTGGTATTCCGCAAGAAAATTATGAAACCGTATATTCAAGCGGTTACAAGTTATACCGTACTTAATTGGTTCATTTCCTACTACTGAGTATATTTTTTTAATTACATATGACTTTGTCTGCTTAACATTATTACAAACACATACATATTATATTATAAAACAAAGTCGCTGTTGTCTCTATGTATGCTTAAATCTTTAAAACTACGCAACGGATTTTGAAGCAGTTTTTTTAAATAGATAGAGTGAGTCTAGAAGAAGGTTTGATGATTAAAATATGATCAAGTATATGAACAAAAGATACATCGTCAGTGGATAAAAAGGTTGCTTTTCTTCCAAAAATGCGAAAGTATATATATATAATACATGTACACCCGTGAGAAACCCGGGCGAGTTTTGAGATAAAAGGTAGGTTGTCTCCTTATGATGCAATATCTTCAACGAATTGTAGACTTTCGCATTTATATTATTAGTATGTATGTATAGAAAAAAGTATCCTATATTTAATATTTTTGTTTGGTGTCTTTGAGTAATAGACAAGTCTGTTTTTGGAAGAAAAGCAACCTTTTTATCCACTGACGATGTATCTTTTATTCATATACTTGATCATATTTTATTCATTACTTATATTAATATATGATTTATTAGGCTATTTTAGCATAATGTTATTGAATAAGTACTTTCTTATTTATAATGTGAGTAAAATTTTTGTAATAAAACTACTATAAATATTTGCTATTTTCTTTTAATTGGACGCTGTAATAAAGCGACCATAAAAATTGATTCTCTAATTTATTTATTATAATAAGTAAGGATACTACAACTATAACATTTACTTGCATACGGAACAGTGACTGATAGGCCCTAACTGGGCTTTCACAGGCTTTTTCATTAAATTACTTTCGTAATGAATAAATGTATTACACGGGGGATTCCTTTCTTCACTTTTTTTCTTTCTTATTTTATTATAAACCGTAGAAAAGTGTCTTATGCTGCCAGTTATTTTTTTATCTAGGGTGTAATAAATTTTATTTTAACGTCCCCTTTTTGGATTAATTCTAAATGTAAATGGGCTGACCTCGAGAATGTCATCCATCTCGAAATCGCATAACGAACTGGATAAAAATCGCATTGAAATATTATTCAAATTTGCGTTTATGATTTATTATGCGGTACGATTAGGTATATTCATTGTTCTAAATTAGCTCAATTATTAATCTGTATTTCATTGTTATATTGTTTCTAAAATTGGAATAAGGTTATAATGAAAACATTATTTAATGTACGAACCTACATTTTTATACAGAAAAATGTGAATTATCATTGTCTAGTAAGAATTGTATTTCAACTTTTAAATAATGTGTTAATTTAATGTTAATAGAATACTAATGTTTTTATTCACCAGTAAAAATATTATTACAAAAAAATACATTGAAATTTTATATTATTGATAGTATTTTATATCAGACAGATTTTATTAACAATATTATTGTCTTGAAATCGTATGGAAATAAGCGTTTGAAATTCTATAATATAGTGTTACATTTGACGAGGTCATTATTTATACGTATCATTAGTAAAAGTCAAGTAAAATAAAATGTGGGAAGTCCCGTGAATTTTATTAATTATACGTATTCTATAATATAAGTTTACAGTAACATATTTCTTTTAAAAGTAAATAAATAATGATATCTTTTGTTCCAGTATCGACAGTTGACGTGGACGCAGTACTTGGCCGGACGGCATCATTGCCGTGTGACGTCACACCTGATGCTAATGAAGATCGGGTTTATATGGTGCTTTGGTTTAGAAAAAGTGGTGGAAAACCAATATATAGGTATTTTAAGTTTTTAGTAATTGTGTCGCAATTTTTTTTTATCTTAATAGAAAACTACAATAATTTTAAAATAAATACCTAAGTAGCAATACATACGAGGCAGACTCTACACTAGATCTCTTTAAAACTGCACATGAGTCATATTAAGTGGTGACTTACTACGCTTGTCTGTCGTTTATACCTTGAGCCCCCAAAGTTATTTAAATCGGCTTCCCTAGTTAATATCTGTTTGTTAACTACTCATCTTCATATTCAGTGTATTGGGTTCACTTGAGGAGGTTTCATTTAAATGTAGCACTAACGTGCATCTACCACATGTGACGTATATTTAGAAATAAAGTTATGAATGCGTTAATTAACAGCGTTAAGTCGGACCTAATGAACCGTCAGGCGGCACCTTAAACGGATGAACGGAAGCCGGGCCAATCCAATTAGCTACGACTTACCTACAACGAAACACACTTAAGACGTCACGGGGTGCTCGTTAAGAAAATCACACTTGACGATTTGAGGACCACGAAGGTTTTGTCGATATATACATACATTTGTAAATTGAAGGGATGTTATAAAAATTGTAGAATTGAAAATATTTTCTCATTAATATTTTATATGTATAATATATTTTTGAATCTCCGATCGGATAGTCGAATATCCGATCTAGCGCTAATAAGAACGAAAATATGAGACCGAATTGGCCGATTCCGATTACAATAGTCGAAAAATCCGAAATCCCAACAAAAATACCAATACATGATAAGATCCCAGTTCCGTAATAAAACGTTTAACAATAACAGCTTTAAACCTAAAAAGAAAGATAGTTGAACAATTTACAAAAGCGCGATCCTTCAAAGATGACAGCTTTTGTCGAAAATGTTATAGATGAATTATTATATATTTTATTCATAATAATTGAGAATGTCGATATTTTAGAAGTTGCTTTGATTAATAATTTTATAGACGATTTCAGAAATATAATATTATAAATGAAAATTGAATGTTTCATAAATAAAACGTTGTTTGTGTTTCACCTTGAAATTATTTAGCTTTCTGGTGTTGTAAAGCTTTTATCGTCAAATACAATTTGTTTTTTTTTATAGCCTGTCAAAGGCAAAGTCTATAAACAGATCAAAGCCATCAACAAATCGTAATAATGTGAATAATACTTATTTTAATAACAACTTAAAGATGGAATATAAAAATCAATTGCCGACCTATGCTTACCTAAAGAAATTAAGAGTTTTAGTAACATATACCCATAAAAGAATATTAAATCAATACACGATTAGGCTTAAGTATATACAATATATGTATTAATCCTTCTCCTAATTGTACTTATACTCACATTATTATAATACGACAAACATATAAAAATGAATGAATAACAAGCAAGCTCTTTATTATACCGAAAGGGTTCATCATAAATATGTTCATATATGTATAAGGAATAAAGTGATTCGACTGTGTATATATTAAAGAGCAATTTTCCCTAGCCCATTATCTGCATCAACATTATGTATCAATATTGATGTGTAGGTATCATACTCAGAAGCCAAGTTACACATTTCAAAAGACATTAAAAAATAGTTATTTAAAAATGTTTTATGTATAATACAAAAAGCTTTTGACGAAAACGTGGCCTTAGCAAATTCTTAATAGATACTTTGTATTTCGTGACTGTAGGATTCAATACAAGTGAAGGAGGTGTAGGTCGTTAGTGATTATTTATAATTTCCTAAGATAAATATCAAAAATAATACTGTATTGTCTCGAACAGTTTGTTAATTTTCTCCAATTTTTTTCTATAAAATATAACGCACAAAAATCTTACTCGTCGTAGCGTCTTACTCTAAGTATTCCTATTTAAATATGGACTGCAGATACTGTGGCAACGATTATCTACCTAAAATTGCAATTATAAGATTCTTTAAGGCTATAACGAGGAGAAACAAGCGCTCTGCATAGATAACGCTGTCATAAAAAGCGTGTTTAAATTGTTTTTACCTGGGAACAGCAGGGTGTACAATCAAAATCATCTCTCAAAGCTTCTTGCTGTATAAATTAGGACGGAGGTCGGTAAATTGAGAAAATGTACCGTGTCCGGAAATTGAAAAACTTCACAGGACACCCTCTTTCTTTTATTCTAGGTTTGACAGTCTTTTTTTAAGTGAAAATGAATTTTAGCAACAATATGGCAGTTTTTGGATTTTATAAATTTTAAATAATGTATCTGTACTTACATTGGTGTAATAATGACATGCATGGTGATATTAATATTTCTGCTTTACTAGGAAAATAAGTAGGTATTGCATTTCAGGCCGGAAACAATATAGATTATTTAACTTCTTTACTCTACCTCTGTGTAGCGTCCTAGATATTAGTAATTATTTATAATTAACTACACTCACTGGAATCATTAAGACCTCTGTTATTAAGAAATAAAATGGACTTCCGCAGAATAACAACTAATTCAATAAAATTTGTTTTTATGGTTCATTGTTTTTGCCAAACAGTTTCGACGTCCGTGGCCGTTCCTTCAACAAAGCACTGCAATGGTCAGACCCCGGTGCTTTCGGTCCTCGGGCATATTTCGCAACAGTTGCGAGGCCAGCAGCGTTGACATTGAGTTCAGTACAATTGGACGATGAAGGAGTTTACAGATGCCGAGTCGACTTCAAGAACTCGCCGACAAGAAACTTCCAGATTCGACTTACTGTTATAGGTAAATATACAATAATTTGTATTGTATTGCACTGTAAGATAAATTGAAATAGTGACTACAAAACATTAGTATTAAATAACTACATAAAGGTTTATTAGGTTATTAGGTTTATTATTTACTGAAAAATAGTGATAACTAAAATAGTTTGATTATTTTTTAATAAACCGAATCTCTATTACATCAATATATTGAAAATTTAACTAAAATAGTTTTAATTTACTGAGGTTGGGTTATTTTTAGAGTAGCTCAACTAATTTAGTTGTTTAGTAGTCATTATTTTCTATCATACTCTCTGTTACTACTCAAATCTACTATACAAATAGGCCGTAAAGACTAAAGGCAAAAATTTGTTCGTTAATATTCAAATAGGAGAAAATTTTCAATTCAAGTATATTTTTACTCTCTATTAAAGTATAACAGGATCAATTGTAGAGTGTTGTCGATTTATTTATATTATAAAGTATATTATATTACAAACTGTAAATTAATTCCATATTGTCGAAACAGTGTATGAAAATATGAGTAACAGTAAATAAGCATAAATAGAATTAATATAAAAGTAAACCAATATAAACCTTTTTAACTTAGCAAAATGAAAATTTTATGAGGCGGCGACAAGGAATCAATATAGCTATCACGGGAGCATCGCGGTCGGGGCTAATGACATCCCGTAGACATTTTAATTATCAACTGTCGACTCCTATACTGAGGTTGCTAACACAGTAACTGATAAAAACGATGCTCCGACGGTGACACAGATAAAATCTGCAGGAGACAGGTTAAATTTAAAAGGAAATTAGTTTTGAATAGATCAAATTGTCCTTTGTTCTGACGTTATCAGGATGGTAATAACTTTGTCCGCTTCAATGTTAGGATTCTCGAGGAATTAATTACATTCTTCACGAATTTAACTTTGTTTTTTATGACTTTTTTATTTTTAGTAATAACACAGCTAATTATAACCAATTTATACATTACATATTCATTACATTTAAAAGCAATTTTATTCATAGTTTTGTTCCGTTTCGCGTGACTTCAGTGAATAAGTCGTTATAATAAGCTTATTTTCAGTGCAATGCCATTCTAAAAAGGAACGATTTAAGCAAAGGATAAAAAATAAATAGGATCTGTAAATGTCGAGTAAACTACCGCGGAGTTTTCAAATAAATTGCCCTATTCAACGCGCGAAAGACGCAAGCAAAAGATGTGAGGGAAGAAAATTTCTTTTGCGCAGTACAATGTATTTACGAGTGCCTAAGCCTATATTGCATATATGCAACGCTATTGAAATCCATTAGACTGAGCAGCCTGGTAATTTACTAGCTGTCTTTGTTAGACAAAGAGACTGTTTCGCCTAAGAACTCACTTATATAATCAGCCTAACTCATAACATCATAAAATATCCAATTACCATTGGGAGCGGAGGGCTTCAATTAATGGTGTCAATTAATAATCAAATAAAGCCGCCCGTGTAATATCGCATGTTGGGGTTAATATGAATGTTCATTCGCTTAATTTTAGCTTTCAAATGCGAGTGTCCTCGGCGTATTCATGAAAGTCAATAAGATGAAAATTAGAGCTCAAGTGTTCTGAGATTTATGTAAATGTATACTTATTTTAATAACGTAACAGTAACGCGGTATCTTATTACTTCAATTAATTATTATGTGAATATGTAATCAATATAATATAAAGTGTTTTATTCATTTATAGCGCATTACATTACGGTATTTTGTTTTAATTTTTATAAGAAAGTAGGTACTGAGAAAATCCAATAAATATAAACTTCGACAACAGTCAATTATCGGAGTACAATATTTTATTGAAATAATTAGAATCGTTTCTGAGATACAGTGTATATATTTTTTATAGTACAGGATGTCATGACCATGTGACAATAATGACGTAATACATATATATACATATTTATTAGACAAATTTGTTTTTAGTTTATTCTAATGGTACGTCATAAAATAAATCTAAATATAAATTAGGTATCAAGCTTCTATCGCAATCTGAAGAGCTGTTCATTAATCTAGTCAAAATAGCCACCAAAGTTGGTCTATACAATGTTATAAATCAGTTGTCGTAACACACTTGTACCATACCACATTAGCGAACTCTAATGAATGATGGGCCAAAATTAATATTAAGTCTTTTCAATGATTTTCACTCTCTTACAGTGCCTCCTCATCAAATGCTGCTTTACGACAAGTCTGGAGCTGATGTATCTGGCGTTGTCGGTCCTTTAGAAGAAGGGACAGCTTTAGTACTAGTTTGTGAAGTACGAGGTGGTAAGTTGATAATGAATTCTTATCTTTGATTATATAATATCGTTGTGACCTAATTTACTATATCTATTTAGACCGAAAACTATTCTGTGTGATTGTAAATTTCTAGCCGACTCTCCAATCATAAAACACCGATTTACTAATTCGAGAGACGGTCCAAGGCTTACCAACTGTCATGTTGGTTTTAAATATACCTACCAAGCGAAATGTGGGCATATCAAATGTTGCGCTTACCGTGTTTGATAGTTCTGACAGTTGATAATTTTTCTGTCTATCCTGTATCTGATAATAGTTGTGAATGTATGCCAGAAATATGCTATTATCATACTAATTTTCTATTTTTATATGTAGACATAATATATTAATAACTATATAGGCATTAACTATTTAATTTATTAATTTAATTGTTAGTAAAAGAGTATTAAATAGTGTATAATTGCATATGCATTTTTTAAAAATTGCAGTTTTGATTATAATCAAAACTGCAATTTTTCAATCAAATCAAAACTGAAATATATATATTTCAATAAATTGTTAAACGTGAAACAATAAAGTAATAAAGACCAAACTTGACATTTGAAATCCATGTTGGTTACTTACTGAAGCATCTTCTCATATTTATGCATTGCCACAATTTTGTGACTAATCTGTTAATGTATTAATTATATTTCAGTTTTATAACAGTACGTCTATTCATTCACATTCTAATATGAGAACGAATATTAATTTTTATTTTGGAAACGTTGACTGAAAAATAAAGGTCAATAAGCATTACGAGAAAACAAAGATAACACAGAATTAAAACGGAACATTGTAGACACGTTGACGTGCTAAATGTAGCTAAAAGTAAATTTAAACGAACAATTCAGTTCAATTTTTCTATTGCCCGATTTCTTTTATGGAAACATTGGAAGAGATATTCCATTCGGATGGCTTCATTGAAAGTCCGCAGTATGGGAGGTTGGCGGAGCGCCAGTATTCGCCGCGGATTATCTTTCCTGTGTGCTCAACAATTGTGATGATGCAGCAGGGTGGACACCGGGTGAACTCGTCCCCTGAGCCTTATCAGTTCCATATTTAATTATGTGCTTTCTATAGAGCGCTGGGTTAGAATTTAACACTTTCAAATAACGATACTTATATGGAGAACTTTAGTATTCGTTCTAATAATAATATGCTGATGTGGTCAGAGGCATTGTCAAATGTTAACATTGTAGTATGTTATTATTCTATCTGTGGTTGTAGTAAACACAACACTAGACATATCCATATTTTGCTCAGTATGTTTGAATCCAATGTGGCCGGGGATCAACCTATTTGTGTTATTTTGATCTTCGATGATGCAATTCTGATACTGATAAATATATAAACAAATAGATATATAACAAAAGCGACTCTGCTGAAAAATTCTGCATTTAGTGTGCAACACGTTGTAGTCCGCATTCACTTAATCGTAACCGGAAACGGTTCCTTTGAGAATACAGCTAGAATATATTTAATGACAAATTCTACAAATAGACTGCGACAAGTGTAATAATGTAAATTTTAAATGACAACAATTACATATAAGAAACTCTGGACAATTCTCATCACAAGCTAAGCAGAGTTTGTTTTATGTCTACTAGACAACTAATAGAAATATTCAAATGTATTGTTTTGTAAATAACGTACTAATACAAACAGTCATTCTCTTGAATACAAATGTTTATGCAGGAATAGAATCCTCGACCATCGGAAAAAAGACTGATTACTAGACTACCGAGGCCTTCATTTGAGAAATATAAACACGTAGCATCTACATTTCTACAAATTGTTGCTCTTTTTTGTTAGGAAATATTTTATAATTAATCTTATAATGTTAAAGGTATAATAATAACAATAAAAGAAAGAATGCTGAATCATATAAATGATTTGCGATACAGATATATAAAAATTATGTGAAAGTGGATGAATGCAAATATTGGAGTAAGCTCAGGAAACCTATCTTGATTAACTTAGTCATATATTGTTCGGAAGTAGTCAAGAGTCAGCGCAACCGATATGCACGCAAAAGACGACATATGTGAATGAAGTACGAATTTTGTATTAGATTTAGATAGTTAGATTAACAATAGAGGTTTTGGTTAATAATTCGTGGACTTTATATATATTTATATCTATATATGTAAGGGAGTACATCTCATAGTAATGTCGTAGTGAAGTTAGAGTTTTGGCTTCTAAACTAACAGTTATGGAAAGTTGCCAATATTTCTTTATTTAATCTTGTAGCCGAACAGCTTTCTGTCGGTTTTGTTGACACCTCTGGTGGGATTTGAGAGATAAGCCCGTTATATTTCGTTGAAATGATAAGACCCACAGATGGCTGTAAGACGTTTAAACAAATATAATTTTTACTATTTAATTTTAATGAGAATTATGTTTAATTCGACGAATAATTAATGATATAAAATAAACAATTCACTGAATTCAACGAGGAACGAATGTCAATACAAAGTTCTAGGGTATCGAGGAATTTTCCCGACTTCAGCCTTCTAAGTAGTAATTCCTAGGACACGGTGCTTAATCCAGCTTAACGCTTATTTTATTTTCTTCAAGCCCAGTGGAAAGAAACCTCTCTATGTGACTATATATATTGTAAAGATATCTTTTTTTAAGAATAAGTACCATTAAGTTTAAACCGTATAAGTTTAAGGCCTTAAGTTTCAATGCCTATTTATTAGATTAATTTAATAAATGTGCTTGTAGTATACAATACTTATACTTAAGTAAACCATAATTATACGCTTCGTAAAATTGGTTACAAAAGGCAAATTTAATGTTGATTTAATAGCATTATTAATCAGTCACCCATATCACTTTGTATATGAGCGATTTTGACAGTATCAAAATGTTATTGTAACTATTTACTTCAATATTGTGATTAAATATAATTGTTTATTACTAGGCCGTCCAGAGCCGGTGGTCACATGGCTGATAGATGGCATCCCAGCTCCTCAATACATCGGCGTGAAGACTGATACACACGTGGTGGTGAATAGACTTGAACTCCAACATTTGAAGAGAGAGGACCTCAACACTACCTTTAAATGCAGAGCAGCAAATACCCATCTAGTGCAACCTCAGGAGAAATCTGTCAGATTAGAAATGAATTGTAAGTTTTATTTCAATACTTTGTTATTTCTAATTTCAGACATTTCGTAAATTTGAGAATAATTATAGTTCATCTGTTGTCCGGTTGCACGGGTTGTATTAAGGACATCTAGAATAAAAAAACGTGTGTGGTAAAATAGAAGCATGGCATCAATACCTCAGAATAAATCCTAAAACATTATTAGATGACAATACTCAATAATTATTAATATCTATTGTATATATTACATACATTTACTTTTTTCTATGTACTAGTTATTAAACCTTTAATTAGTGTATTTTATAGGATCTCATATTCCATTGATTAAAAATGATAAATAAAAAGGATAGCTTTAACTGTCCACTCGGAACAATTAGCTACTATTTTATTATATAGAAAATGATAAGCAGAATATGTTATGAATATAATATGAATATATATGATTACCCTGTTGTTGCTTATATCTGTAGGTATAGTCGTTTTCATGAACGATCCGTAAGTGTGTCATAAAACATTTAAAAAAATTATTACCTGCAAACTGCAAACACTATTTTACCATCAGAAAACATGTCAGTTGCAATGTAGGTATGCCACAGAATATAATGACATTACCAAAGCCTTTGATATTATAAAGTAAATATTTATATAGTGAAAAAATATCGATGTACTCGTACAACTCTTTTGAAGTCACGTATTAGTTGCGGTAATGGATTTAATTTTAAGGTTTTAGTAAATAATTTTGGGTAATATTTGTAAAAAAGCAATGTACAACCTATAGACTTTGCAATTTTGTACGAAGGTAGATTTTTAATTCATAAAACCCAGAGTCGAGACAAAATATGTAGCGTATTCATAAATTCAACGTAGCAGTATTTTATAAGACACTTATCTGCATACAAAAATGTAATATGAACGAGTTTAAAATAAAATTATAAGCCTGGACAATCCACACTGCGCTAACTAGTCTCAGCTAAGCAAATCTTGTGTAATGGGTACTAAAAAACTGATATCTAAAAATATGTTTTGGTTTTTTTATAAATACACACATAACATAAAAAACACTCAAACCAATACAAACAATCAAATTTATGAATAAAAATGTTTGCACTGTGTGAGGAATCGAACCCGCGACCATTGGAAGTAAGACGCTATGGCTAAGCAATAGACCACCGTGGCCGTCAACTTAAATACGTATCACTGATTCGTACAGAAATTAATATATTTCAGTAATAACGAAGTGTGGAGTGTGAAGTGTCGTACGCACTGGTGTTGTTAAAAATCAAACATCTCTAATTTAATCACAATTCATTTGCTTTGGTCAGTCTTGTGTAAAATACGGCTTATGATATCTAATAAATGTAAAAAGCAACTTTAATCATATTTAAGTGAATTTTATTGACATAAAATGCAATATGTTAAGGCATATTAACTTGCAATAGATTAATTTTAATAGAGATTTCTGATATTAATTAGAAAAGTTAATAATGTAGATATATGTATATATATATAGTTCAGGAGCTATTTTTCAGGTCAAAACCTTTTTTAGTTGATATAGTTTAAAAAATATATAATTGTAGATTAAAAAACATTGAAAAGAATTAAAGTCAGTAAATTTACTTAATAAACAATACATACACATTAGATATACATATATATTTAAAGTAAATTTTGCAATCGGAATATAAACGTAAATAATATTTAAACGTTGATATGACCTGTATTTTATTACAAGTCAGTTACTCATAATATTCCTATCAAGAGTTTAATAGGCTTACAACCTTCAAATAATAAAAATCGATTGAATTTAAATTATTGATTCGATTCTTGTTAATTGAAGGTTTATAAACTGTATAATAACACTTTGAAGGCAAATGCTTAATAAGAAAATTTCAGACTGTACTCTCACTGACTCTATAAAACATTGACATAAATTAGTGAGCAATATTGCAATTAAAAGTTGGAACTACAAAAATAAAAACCTATTTCCACTTTAGTTACTTACTGGATTTTCGTTGGAAATCGTAGAAATTCATTACGTTGGCGAGTTCCCTGTGAAACTGAAACGAGTAATTAATTATAGTCCCCCGTGATTGCTGGTGTGTACTCCACCTTGCCACAACTAGGCCACGCACTCATTGGATTACGTCGCAGTTGGGGAACTTCTTTACATTTTTCATTAAACCATAATTAGAATCGAATTACTGTTACCATTATTTTACCAACGTAGACAATAAAAAGTTACCTACCTAGTGCTGAGGTACGCACTAGGTAGGTAACTTTTTATTGTCACCTATTTCTGCCGCCAAGCAGTTTGCACAGCTTATGAACTGTGTTTCAGTTATAGTCTAGAATTAGGTAAAGCTTGGCATCTGAAATCTTTAGAATAACGCATGAGTGGTATCACGGGTGTCTTATGATAGGGTAATGTCTATTACGGTTACCGATTACCATGAGGTGGGCCATCAGCTTGTTTGAAATTCCAATTAAAGTTATAATATTTGAATTAATTTACACATTGATCTTATACAATGGTAGAATGCAGAACACTACGGAACGTTTTTTGTAAACTATGTTTTTCTGTTTGAAGAATGAGTTATGAAAGCTGAATGAATCTTTTGTACTAGAAATACATAAAGGGTGGCATAATGTATATATGTGACTGTTCATACTTCTATATTATTGCTGACAATAATATACAATTGCATATGTATACGTACAGCTACCATTTTCTAAAAATATAATATGTGCATTTAAAAAAAATATATTTTTGAATCACATATTGAATTTTACTCATTACTTATTTATTGATAAAAAATTATCGTTTCTTTCCACCAGTGGCTCCAATTTCCGTCTCATTATTAAATCGGCCACAGCAATTTCTTGCGGGTACATCTGCGTCTATACGCTGTATGGCCGAAGGTAGTAGACCATCAGCCCAGATTGCCTGGTACAAGGACAACAGGAGTTTCGACAAAGGAAAGGTAATCTAGCAAAAATATGTAATTTTAAATGTACGTGCATTGTAGCATTGCACGTACATTTAAAGTTATAGTATTATTCATAAAGAGCGTATCAAGTCAAATACCGAGAAGAATTACATTAACAACTTTCACTAGAACACAAAGTGGTAACCTGTTTATTTTTTAATTGTCACATAACATTGAATACGTCAGTTTTGTATGAAGATGTTAAAAACTAATTTCAATGGACTTATTCAAATTTGTTCACTTAGTAACGTAAGTGGAATAATATTACTGGCTTTCAGTTTAACATTTCCTTTACGAATAACACATTGGGTATTTTTAAATAAATAAAATATATATAATTAATCTTAATTAAAGTGTGTCCAGTATAAAAATTAATTACACGTGAAATACATACTTATTTTACTAAGGTAAAAAGAAGATTTCTTATTTTTGTGTATAGTAATTTGATTAATAGTAAAACCGTGTTTAATCTAAAGAGATATGTTTTTCATTATATGTATAGGTAACTGCGCAGTCGAATGAGACATGGTCAATTAGCACGTTGACATATACGCCCACTCCAGCGGACAACAGCGCTATTGTGAAGTGTGTGGCCACCAACCCAACGCTGCCTACAAAAGCAATTGACGACCACTTACAGCTAAATGTTGTATGTTAGTATTGTTTTAATTTCATATCAATATTATAATAATACTTGAATACAAATGGAAATCAAAAGTAGATGTATTAAATTATGTAAACACTGGAGACACTCATGGTAAGTCACATCTTTCAGTCAATACAATCAGAACTGACAAATTTTATTGTTTTTATTTGTAATATATTATGCAAATTTATTCAATTATTTATTCAAATAAATTCAAGCACTTTTGAATAGTCATATTTTTATTCTACCACTCATTCGAAACGCTGACTCATCACAAGAAGAATGACCAAGAAACTAGTGTGTTGCTCTTTCAAATAAATAAATGTTATTATAACAAGTAAGAGGCATGCGATTATCAACATAGAAACCACTATGCACTAATTTCTAGTGCAATCATATAACATTGTCAGCGCTATGCATTTTATATTTTTCTAAAAAAACTTTATTATCATTTACAAACTCTTCAATTTTATAATAAGCACTTTACAAAGATAGTGTTTTTTACCATATTTAAATCTTTTTTCAGGCAGTTTTTGAACAAACTCTGGTAATACATATGTTTTAAAACCTTACGCGATATATAATAATATAAAAACAAGTCACAAATAAATATGCAGTTAATATTCACCTACAATGCCTTTCTACTACTAGTCTATTTCTACTACTATATATGTTGATTATATAAGTTCAATAACTTAACAGTAAGAACATTGATTCGCGTCGCATAATATGTAAATTAGAATCGATTCCATCTTTTTCAATTGCATCACTATTAATTATTATGATGTTTTCAACTCATTGCATGCATAGAATTTCTACAAAGTATTGTATGATATATTTTTGCCACCAACCACCAGGTTAAAATTAAGTTTAAACTGTAACTAATAGGGACAGCTATTATTTTTCGATATGTTGTAGTTGAAATCAATAAGATTTCGTAATAAATTTAAACTTTCTTGACGGTTATATAAAACTTTATGTTATTTGGTAATCAATTAGAAACATAAAGTTTTAAAGTTATAAATGTCTATCTACGTGTCTGTCTATTTTATTATCAAGACTGAATTTTAATTTTAATTTATCACGTGTTAAGATAGATTGTATCTAGATAAAGGATGTACCTATGCAGTATTTTTTAAATGCATACAAAGTCGAGGGTTAGTACTAGTTGTAGCATTAAAAGTGATCTTCTCTCCAGACAGCCCACTGGTGACGTTATCGCTAGGCAGTACTCTCAATCCACATGACATAAAAGAAGGTGATGACGTATACTTCGAGTGTAACGTAAGAGCGAATCCCCGAGAGCATCGGATATCCTGGTACCATAATGTAAGTTTGAGTAATACATACAAAATATTTTGATAGTTTATATGTAGGTACCTGGTTAACATATATTTGTAATATTCCAAATAATATTTATAATAATAATTGACCGATTAGTAGAATAATATTTACATGAGATAAATAAAATTTATCAATGATGTTTGAAAATATTGTATCATTAAGTTAATTGTTATGGAGAATTGCTTGAAAATTATACATACTCGTTTGTTTCTATCCCACTGCTTATTTTTAAACTTTCCATTTAGTAACATTACGTAATACGTTTAAACGAGTTTTAACACGATTAACGGATACCGTGAGTACTGTGTCGTGATTGTTCATTGGTCAATCTACTGCTAGTGACGCTAGTTGAAGAAACTGCTAGCACCTATTAAGAGTGACATCGCTGTTACTCCAGTCAGTTCGTGACCACAGTGGAACTTTGAAACAAATATGAAAATTATTTATGTGACAACTCGTTTAACGATATTAATATTCACATGTAACACTAATATGTGTTAACACAACATTAATATTAATATCTTTAATATTCATATGTTAGTGTGTGTAATTACATGTATGTAATCAAGGTAAATTCAGGTAAAGTTTCTTAAACTTCAACTGATCAAAAATGTATCGCTATTTTGTAATCACCGAAAATGCATTGCCTAATCGGTTCACAAACAAAAAAGTTATACGGGTACAAAGTCTCGGGCTCAGGTAATAAAATAATATCTTGCTAGTATATAAATAAAATCTAGTATCCATTCTAGGATAGGCCGGTGACGCAGAACATGTCGTCAGGGATCATTCTCAGTACGCGGTCACTCGTGTTACAAAAGGTAACGAGGCGAGAAGCTGGAGGTTATTCATGCCGGGCTGCAAACACTAGGGGCGAGACATCCAGTGACATCGTGCGACTGAGAGTGCAGTGTATGTACTTTTTATAAAAACACCTATTAATAGAATAGAATAGAAAATCATTTATTCAAATAAACTTACATTGAAGCACTTTTGAATAGTCATTACATTTTTTTTTTAATCTACCGCTCGTTCGGAAAGCTGTCTCATCACAAGAAGAACGAGCAAGAAACTTGCGTGTTGCTCTTTTAAATAATTTTATTATTACTTTACATTTTTAAGTTTAAGTGTGTGAATACAAACCACCAATTAGCACTAATTCTATTAAATACTCAAATAGAAATAATATTGAATATATAACCAACTGGTTAAACAATTAATAAGAGGAAATCAGTCATAGTGATTAGAGCAGACCAGTCCCTACAAGCAGCACAGCACCCGTTCACGAGTATGACGGATGAGCCAGCCATCACTGCGCTGAGCCCAATGACCCGGCCCACCACGCCGCCAAAAGTCTGGACATTTTAGTGAGCATGACTACTCAAAACACTAGACTACGTCAAAGCTACTTACAATTGCTATCTGACGTTATAGTATTCACATTTTACATAAGAATGCATGCGGCAATCAATACAAAAACCGCTACGCTTTCATATTTCTAAAATTAATCAATTAAATCAAGAAAGCAATGAGAAAATTAAATTATAACGTTGTATGCTAATAACTAGTTATTTACTTGATATGTTGTCGTCTATGAATTCGTCTATCCTGTAATAGGCTTTCTTACACAAAAATTGTTTAATATAAGATTTGAATTGCCTCTCTGTCAGATTTAGTGCAGATTCTGGCAGTTTATTATAAAATCTTGCAATTACCATAGAATGAATTACTGACTTTGTGCAGGCGGCATTTAGGTAAAATTAGCTTATTTTTATTGCGTAAGTTTCTTACAGTCTTTAAGTTTTCTAAAACTCTCTAAATTCTTCCGTGTATACATGATATTCTCATAAATGTATTGTGAAGTAACGGTGAGGATATCTGAATCTTTAAAACACTGACGTAATGACTCTCTTGAACCCATACCATAAAACGTATGGCTGTAAAATAAATATAGTATTTATATCGGCTGCTTTACCCCACAGTAGTATACCATATGACATAATTGGAAATAACTAAAGTATACAAGTTTAGCCGTCGCCACGTCTGTTAATTGCCTAATTCTTCTAATTGCATATGCTGCTGAACTGAATCGGGGTCGAGTCCACTGTTATACCTAAAAAAACTGTATCATTAACAAAATTTACTATTTCATCATTAAGCAATAACTGTGTATTTATTGGTCTTACATTAGGAAGTGTAAATTTTATACACTTTGTTTTGCTGGAATTTAATAATAGGTTATTACATGTAAACCAATTTAATATAGCAGACATAGCACAATTTACATCGTCTAATTGATTAGTTTGACGTCCAATTTTAAACACTAACGAAGTATCATCCGCAAACAGCACTATATCTGCAATTTTCTCTACCATAAAGGGAAGGTCATTTATGTAAATTAAAAAGAGAAATAAGATTCTTGTGGAACGCCCATCCCAATACTTAGATTTTATACCGTCAATATCTACAGTTTGGACCCTATCCTCTAAATAAGTTCTCATTAATAGATCATTATCTTTTATACCATAATGTGTACAAAAGTGTTTTATGATCCACGCAATCACATGCCTTTGATAGCTCACAACAAACTCCGAGTGCATCCTGTGACTTCTCCCATGATTGGAAAATATGTGTTATCAGCGCTACACCTGCGTCAGTGGTAGACTTGCCGGCGGTGAAACCATATTGTTGACTGTGAAGCAGTCGGTTATCCCTGAAGTGTTGTAACATTTGATTTAACATTATCTTTTCAAATACCTTACTTAGAACTGGCAAAATAGATATCTATAGTTCCCTGGCTCAAATTTATTCTGATTTAAATAGTGGGATTAATTTGTAAATTTCATTAAATGTGGAAAAGTGCCATTATCAATACATTTATTAAAAATAGTAGCTAGATATGGAGCAACAATATCTATGAAAGAACTAACTACTTTTACAGACATGCCCCAAAGGTCTCTGTATTTTTTAAATTTAGATGTTTGAATATTTTTATGATATGAACGGGGCTAACATGTGAAAATTTAAATCTTAAAGCACAACAACCGATATTAGACTCTAGTAATATTTTTGCTCGAGATGGAGATGAGTCCAGAGAAGATGTAATGTTAATCGGAATGTTAGCAAAAAAATCTTCAAAAACATTAACTACATCTTTTGTTGCTGTTATTAATTTATTATCATAATTTAATGCAAATTGATTATAGGCTAATTTAGATCTTCCGGTTTCTTTATTTATAATGCCCCAGATGGTTTTAATTTTGTCAGAAGACTGGTTAATTTGTTTATTAATATAATTAGATTTAGCCGTAATACAAACTTTTTTAAAAATTTTTGAATAATTTTTCACATAAGTGGTGAATTTGTCATCAAATCGATATTTTTTTTGATCGTATAAATCAAACAAAATATTTCTACTTTTAAGTATACCTACTGTTGCCCATTCCGTGAATTTAGATTTAACATAAACTTCTTTTTGAAAAATTGTTCATATTCTCCTGATAGAATAGTAATTAGCTTGGTGTAAAGATAATCAGGATTATTACTAGATTGTAACAGCAAATCCAATTTATTTTTAATCGCGCTTTTGTATTTGTTAATATTGTAAACATTTATTTGTCTTTTTGATTTTTTATTATTGTTGACTTTATTGATCTGACTGTTAAACTTAACAATGACCACAGTGATCTGAAGGAAGTTTATTTATTATGAATTTTTCTGTATACTCACAGTTACAAAAAACATTATCAAGACAAGTAGCAGACGTGGCAGTTACACGAGTGGGTTCATGAAAGACATGACTTAAATCAAATGATTGAAATAAACTAATAATTTTTGTACATGTGGGTGTGTTACAAAGAATATCAACGTTAAAATCTCCACATACAATAATTTTTTTAATACTATTAAATATTTTTTTTAATATATCCTCCATCACCCCTTCAAATACATTGTAATCACTATTAGGAGGCCTGTACACACATATAAGGATATAATTTTCTAGTTCTATACAAGATAATTCTATACAACACTCAATAGAAAGTCTAACAATGTCAGCACGTTCCTTTACTTTAATATTATTTCTTGCAATTATCATAGACCCGCCTCTGTTAACTGACTTTCTATTTGACAACGTTATAATTATTTAAATTGAACATCATATTGCTCTCTTTAAGCCAATGTTCTGTGAACAGACAATATCAATATTATACTTTTCTAAAAATAATTGTATAATTAACTCGCTGCCGGGAAAACTTTGTATGTTCTGATGAACAATTATTAATTCTGATTGCTTTCCCTTTGTCTTTGTGAGCAGTTTAAATCTGCAGTCATAGTATTTATGTCACAAATATTAATAGAATTATTTGTTATGTCAGTATTTTTATGTTTAAGTTTACCATGTAAACTGTTCATGTAGTCAATATTATAAGCCACTAAAGTGGCTATTTTATTTTTAGATAATTTAGAGAGATACATTGTATCTTTTGTCAAATAAAAATCACTAATAAAACTATTAGTATCAAAAAATGTAAAAATGTCACTATGACGACATGTCAATGTATGTAATAAGTTGTTCAGGTAATGTATACTGTTAATTTTTTTATGAAGATGTACAATACAATCTTATACACATTTAATTGTAATAAATATTCAATTCCTTTAATTATATCCTGCCTATTTAATTGAATATACCAAAAAATAACACAATTGTGGTCATATTGTTCATTTTCGTAGACTTCATTTTATTTATTATTTGTGTAAATGATGCTTCTGGCATACAGTAGTTTCTTTAAGATGATACTTCAAAATAGACCCAAAGTTACAGCCTATTCTGTCAGAGAACACCATTGTGCTACTCTTAGGGTTACAGTTACTGGCACAAACACCCTGAACTTCATTTTCCAGCATAGTTACAACTGAATTATTATTTGATATATTTGTGTGATTACATGTACAATGCTTAGTCAACGACTCAAAACGGTCAGCATTGTATTTACTGACATCAATCAGATCATCCATTGCTAAAATATGCTCCTGGATTTGTTTCTAAGAGATAATATACTTTGTATTTAAATCATGAAGCGAAGATTCTAAACTATTGATTTTTGAAGTTAGGTAGTCTGTATCAATGTCATATAACTTTTGGCTTTCCACTAACTTATTATCACATATATTAATGTAATCATGCAATTTTAAATTATTTAAAGTGTTTTTTTTCAATAACTGTCCCTTTTTGCAACGCTTATTTAATATATTCCGATTCTTAATTATAAACTTTTTTAGTTTTAAATATTTTTTTAATTTATTATTACTCAACATACAAATGTTACTGTTATAGTTGCCTAATTTAGGTGATGTATCACTATAAGGTCAATTACAACAGGATGGGTGCATGGAATAGTAGAAGGAGGCACACAGTTAACACTAATAAGTTCCTCATATAAATTACTAATCTCATTATTTTGTTGAGATTCCAATCTTGTGTCTAGATCATTGATTTTAGAATATGCCTGCTTTAACTCAAGTTCCAATTCAGTGATACGCCTAGGCTTTCATGAGTGTCACTACATTGATGAAAGCTACTTATTAGTTCTTGAAGCTGATCCCGCTGCTCAATAATTTCCTGATGACTATTATGAAGTTCTGACAATTCTGATTTTAATTGGGTATTTTTATTTATAATTTTTAAAATTTCAACTCTCTTCTCTCTCCCTGATCAACTTGTCACTGAGATCTTTGGATGCCTGAAGTTCTTGTAGGGCCACTTTAAGCTTCATCTCTGTCTGCCGTGCAGTTGTGGAACGGGTAGATAACATTATTGAATATATGAATAGTTACTAGGGAGAGTGAAGTGAGTTATTTCTAAAAGAAACAAAGTATCACAACGAGAACAGCAACTGAACCTTACTTATTTTATGTGTTAAAATTTTGAATAATTTCTGTTAGATATATTTATACAACCTATATTTTACAAGATTAAGTAAATGGAATTAGATTGTGCTCCTTTCCTTCAAATTATATTAATATAAAACATAAAATTACTTACAATATATTTTGTGGGTATATTTTTTCCTTCGACGTACGCAACAACTGAACTTCACAATTATTAATATCAATTTAACTTTATGTGAATATTTCTATAAAACTTGTATATATTATGAAATTCTTTGAATAAGTCCAACAAATAGTAATAAAAATAGTTTTAAGATTAGTTGCTTACCAACGAAAGAAGTTTGACAGATGGCCGGTACACTATTTTGATGTCGATTTTTGCAAATAATACACTACCAAATTGTACACAAACAATAATCGACACTTATTGCACTATTATATCACTGATAACGATATTGAAAATATAATATTCGTGTGATAGACTATTAAAAATTATTTATTTATTACGGCCAGCTGAAAATGACAACTGTCGTTGGTGTTGCTAGTCGAAGAAGATAATATCGTTCTAATAGTTGTTTGCAATTGTTACATATATGAGTTAATAAGATGGTAGACGGCCTGGGTGGTCTAGCGGTTTAGCACACCGCCTTACTTCTGATGGACGCGGGTTCAATTCCTCGCACGACACAAATATTTGTATTCATGAGTAATAAACTATTGTAATGTTTAAATAAACATTTGTTAGTTACGATAAGTACGACAATACTTAGCTAGACAATAACCTTTGAAGGATGCTTTTAACGACTCGAAAAGAGTTCAAAATAAGGTGATATTGGTAAATACCATGTTACATATTTCTTTATACTATAATGCTACTTACGCTAGTTAAACAAGAAACTATTACATTATGAAATACCATAAATGTCACAAAACTAATGATTTTAGTATCGGTTATATGTTATTATTCTTAATTTTAAGGGTTTTATAATTATATGGTATTAGAAATTCTACTTCTATATGTTATTCGTCAAACCACAACAGCTTGCCAAACAAACTATTGAATGGAAATACTAGATAAAACGTAAAAGATAACGACTTTCGTACAAAGTCTCTAATAAATTCCTGTTTTCTGGGATATACCTGCATAGTTTACGATAGTAACCATTAATATCATCCGTGGAGTAGTGTGATATTTATATTCACGTGCCCTGAATTTTGATTCTGTTTTCTTCCGATAATTTAGATTTTTTCCTGATATTTGCAGTATGTTTGTAAATAGCAGTTTGTAATCGAAACATTATATAGTCATTTACGATTATTGAAATGAAAAGACTCTTTATTGTTCCTCTCACTGACAGTAAATAACAATTATATAAATTAATATGTATATCAAATACGAGTATAAAAACAACATAATTACTATACAGAGGTAACAATGGGCGGTCTTATCGCTAAATAGCGATTTCTTCCACGCAACCTTACGATGGAGAGGAGTAATAACACTGAGTCTGGTCAAGGCATTACTTAATTATTATAAATATTGTCAAATAAATACATATTATATACACTTACATATAACTGCTTACTGCTGAATTCTTATATATAATGTATACATATGTATAAATAAATGAAATACTTAATAATAATGATGTTAATGTGACGATAATTTATGCAAATAATAATTTTTAACGCACAATTTAAAGGTATGCAGTGAATGATTAATACTTTTAAAATATAAATAATGACCATTGTTGTTGTGAACGTTATGCGATTCGCTAGTTTATAATGACATTAATATTATGTATTCAAGTTAGTTTCCAAAATTAATTAGCTACTGAATTATCAAGTTTATATATTGTGAACAACAAATAGCTATAAATTTAATTTACCTAATCGCGATTTAGGCTTAGAAAGTTATCTGAATTTCTATTGGTAAATAAAATCTATAGATTAAAATAGCTTGGAGATTCTTCGAACCTAATAACGTCGTAGTACGCCATATCTGAGCGAATGTGCGTAATGTTCTACGATTAGTTCTAATTACGCATTTCCGCCTTTAATTTTCAATCTTCAGTTAAGATCATTAGGAAAATATCTTACTTAATGAAAATAGGGAAGTTTATTTCAAAACATCAAAACGATTACCAAGTTAATGGTGGCCTCCGGTAAAAAACAAAATTTCGCATTTATCAAGCGGAACACGCCGAAACGCGAACTGTAAACATGAAACAGCGCAATCTATTAGACGTTTCATTTACATAGCCTACTATAAACATCGGATACAATGACATGTAGGTCCGCCGTAAAATGTCGCTATAGATAGTATGAGTTACAACGCTGTAAATACCGACATGTCTGCGAATAGGTATTCAAATGATTGCGGTCGGGATCGACGTACCGACTTCCTTCCGTGGCCGAACGGCCGCATAGTAATTGCCGGAGAAGGCGGCGCTGGCAGTAAATCATCAAAATTATTGCCTAATACTACTGCGATCCTTGTACCTACCTTAGCAATCTGTTGTTCAGTGGCTTCACTTTAATTCATAGAGCTTTGTTTTAGTGAACGGACAGAAATAAATTCTGTTTCTAGGCAGTGGAAACTACCGTTTGTGCAGCTCCCTGGCTTATTTTGTCAGACTCTGTTATTTATTTTGCCATAAGATTGTATGAAATATATCGCCATATCTGAAATATTAAATATTGTATTCAGTATAGTATAGTTTACAACATCATAAATGGTAGGACTACTTAGTAGTAGCATATAACCAGGTACAATTGAATCCTGTCTACATGTTAATTATACAGGAGGGCTACGTAAATCAACAACGATGTCCGGTGCAAGATTTATTATCAGCATTCTATATTGGCGCATCGCAGGCTTCCTTCCCCTGACCGAGACTTAATTGCAGAGTTGGGGAAGACGAAATAATTCGCCGCTGCCGAAATAATTGCCCCTTGATTTATATTTATCGCTTTATGACAGCAAAACTGGTTGGATAGGTTTTTAAATTTATAGACGCAGCGTTTTATGTATTTTTCGACGATATTTGCCGTTTCATAATAACACATTTGTGTGTTTTGCGTGTATGTAATTTTATCGGTGTTTTATTTTCAGCTTATTTCACATTTATTTGAGATATTTTTTTATTGGTTCGTTTTTATTGTAAATGTTTATTTATTATCAATCTATTACAATTACTGATTAATATTCTGAATTTCACATATTGCAACTAATACGTAGAATTGAGCTGATGTGACTTATCATACTTATATATGCAAAATAATAAAATAGTATCCTGACAACTTACATAGCACTCCATCTAGTCTTAAATTAAAGAGAGTTTGTATTATGGTTGTTATCCAAAACAGACATGTTTAAATACATTATTTTATAAATCTGTAATACATATAAAAATATCATAACATATGAAAATAATCAGTTCAATACACATATAAATTGAATAGAAGTGTTGTGCGAGAACCGAAATCACGACCATCGGGAAGTAAGTCAAAGTAGTCACCGCTAGACCATTAAGGTATAATCTAATGAAAACTACGACTTAAATGTTTTTTTATACAGATGCACCGGTTTGTGGTGAATTATCACCACAAGTCGTTGGCGCTGCGCTGGATGAAGCGCTGCGTGTCCGGTGCGCTGTACACGCCGACCCCGCAGAAGTTGTTTTCTTGTGGCAGTTCAACAATAGTGGGGAGAGTTTCAATGTATCACCCGCTCGATATGGTAAGTATTAGCAAAAATACTTCGGGTACGCTATTGTTAGTAATGAGACAATTGCTAAAAAATTGTCACATCGGGTTGAAGTCACGCAGCTCCCCGCTACTAATCATCGTAGTTAATTCCATGCTAAACTGCTCTAATTGACCTGAATCTTCTTACTTTGTGCTCTTCTATCACCAAAAGTTATGAGGGTAAATACGGTAGGTCATCCTCATCATCTATTAAAAAAATAGAAACGACTACATATATACAAAGAATGGAACAATCTTTATTCAAAACTTAATATAAGCATTCCGTGATTCTTCTGCTATATTCGGAATGCAGATTCAGTCAAGAAGATCAGACAAGAAACTTGGCTGTTGCTCTTTTCAAAAAAAAGTTGGATGTTCTAGATTTTGTTTGAACCACATAGCATGTAATCATATCCAATGCATAATATGTCCCTTTATAGATATTAGTTAAATAATACAACGAACAATCAAAAAAATATTGAATATTCTCCATGAGGTTAAACCGACAGTATAATTGACAGTTATCGTGTTTCAGTGCAATAATTAAAATTCACTCTATTATATTTATTATTAACTCAATATGTACTTATATTTATAATATCACTATTCTACTCGTATTATATATAGCACTCTATATAATTTTATAATTAATCGAAAGTGTATTGTTAATATGAAATATAAAATCTATGTTATTTTACAAATTCTGTTAAAATAATAGAATATTATTAATACTCACTTGGAATTTATACGCTGAACATTTCCACATTTAAATAATTATATCTCCATTATTATATTAAGTCCTATTGATTTGGGAATAAATTTATGTATGTAATAAATATTCTGGACGTATGCTACGTATTTACATACAATATTTACATTATAATTTGGCCGTCGCTTTTATGACACCAATTATTAATTGTGATACCATAATCAAGGCTACAACAGCACGTATATTTAATATTAAGCAAACTAACAATTTATAAAAATATTCCGCTAGCTTATTTTGTCATTTATCACATTCATAATTCAATGACAAAAACCAATAACGTAAGTTTTTATTTACCTATTTCAAATGGTGATCTAGATTAAATATTAGGCAATATAAAAGATAAATAGAATAAACATTTGTATGCACTTTTAAACATAAAAGCGGTTCCAATCTAAAAACCTGCGATAGTATTCATGAAACTAAAGCAATTTCAGCATGAAGCTTAGTGGGAAGGGAAAATATTTTTCAAACATTTCATATGAACTGCATGCATTTATGTAATATATTTGTTGCATTATATATATATTGTATTATAATTTAACAGGTACAGTAAACGGAAGCGTCAGCGAACTTCGATACACGCCGGCCAGTGAAAGGGACTATGGAGCGTTAACATGCCGAGGAACTAACACTGTGGGTCGTCAGGATCAACCTTGTGTCTTCCAAATAGTTCCAGCAGGTATTTCCATAAGAATACGAAATTGAAGTAAAAAAATAATTAAAGTATACAATTCATTAATACCTAGATAAAATCTTAATAGTCATATAAATAGATTTATATACAACAAAATAGAACAAAATTAAATATTCTGACAGGCTTTGTTCCAGTCTACATCCATAATTCCTATATATACATTTATATATTAGGTTGAATACATATAATTAATTTTGCATTATAAATTGAAAGAAAGACACATGAATACTATACTTGTATAAAAAGAACATTTGTATTGTATTGTGCATACAATTAACAAGGCCTTTAATAATGTAACGATGTTATAAATAATTCTCAATTGTAACGGTTTGAAATGTAGACGTTTATGATTATATAAATCATAAACTTCTACATTTTAAACCATATTACCATACAACAGTCGCGAACCGTATCAATCAATACCAATAAGTAGGTACCAATTATAAACTGTACAAATTACCTCACATCTTCAATCTCAAATAGTTTATACAAAATGTCAATCCCACTAATGATAATCCATTTCAATTGAGAGTTGTGAATAATATCGTTTCAAGCAAGAAAACTGATTTAATTGTAGGTTTATTCCAGAGGTACACCATAAATAGTCATTTGCGTGGGTCTCACCTCACCGCAGTCTTAACTATTTTAGTCACCCGCTTCCTTGCTAAGCTGTAGTTCGGTTGTAGGGTGCAGATTAGGTAGTAAAATTAAGACGCATGCCATGTTAGTCATCGGGTGTTATCGCAGTTAGTGCAACGCATGTTATCGCAGGTGTCATATGATAACGTTATATCTGTAGTGCTATATGTATATAGCTGACAGGTATATAGGTGACGGTTACCATCAGGTGAACCGTCAGCTTGTTTGGCATTCCAATTAAATAAAAAGAGTAATATACAAATAAGAAAAGCTTAAAAATAACAAAAGAATCAAAGAAAGAAAGATATATTATTTTATCTTTTATTAGCTCGCCCATCACCTCCACGCAACTGTACGGTATCGGCTGGGAACAACACCAATTGGATAGAGGATTCTGGTCATGAGGATTTGGGAGGTGCTTTAGTTGTACGTTGTGTTGCTGGGTATGATGGAGGTCTACCACAACTGGTTGTACTCGAAGCTTTGGATGCTGTTAGTGGAATAGTAAAATTCAACGTTACTAGCAATGAAACTGGTGAGTTATAAAAATAGCAAATATAAGATATTTTATATTTGTAATAAAAAATCTGAATATTTCACACAATTAGTCGCTAGGCACTACTCATGAATACATATATTTGTATCATGTGAGGAATCAAACCCTCGACCATCAAAATCAAGGCGGTGTGCTAAAGCAATAAAATATTGAGGTCGTCGAATAACTGATAGCTGTCACTTACATGACGATATTATTAATGGATCAATTATTTACAAAATCATCGATATCAGTTTACCTCTGTTTATAATTTTAAATTTACCTATCATGTATCAGTGGCTATATTAATTTAATTTAATGAAAGGAAGGAAAATTATATACTCATACTTGATTTGTACACGTGTTTTTGATATTTAAGAAACAAATTGAATGTTTCTTAATGAACAACTTTCACATCATATCATACTTACGAAACATTTAACTTCATTCAAAGGAACTTTTAAATTTTTTTGTGTGACTACACACCACCAAAACAATATTGAAAGGTTCTTAATATCTTCTTTGGAAAACCAAATATATATAAAAATAATAATATCAGTTCTTTTGAACTGATATTATTATTTTTATGGAAAATATTTATAAAGAAAATAAAAGAATAACATATAAAGGAATGAAAAGAAAGGAAAACAATGAAAATGAGGAGAAAAATGATAATATTAATCGACATATTGTTTTTCTTCAACAGATGGTGTGGCTTTATTTCTTGTGCCACCGACAGTTCTGTGGTCGAGTGGCAATACTCTTCGACTTACAGTGCATTCACGAAATGATAAAGGCGCCTCTGAACGGATTATGGTACATGCTCTAGCTTACCAAGATCCAGAAAGAAGAACAGGTAATAATTGTATTTATATTATTTACCTTTAAGATTTATTATATTTAAAGATCTACTGTAATCTGTATTTATTCACAAATTATTAATATTTGAATTGTAATATTTCTTTAATTTTTTGTATTTATTTAGGTACTAATTATTTATTTTTACTCTATGAATTTGTGAAATTATATACTATAGCAAGTTATTAAAACCACTCGGAATGCATATATAGTTACTTATATGTATTTGTAATCAATTCTGCACCTTTAAGAATCCGTTTGTTTCCTTAAAGAAAACCTACCTCTTATAAATTTTCTATTTTATTTCTGGGCTTCTCTTTATTTTGCTTAAATACATAGTAATATATAATTTTGTCATTTGTAATGCGATAATAATTTAGTACTGTTGTTTACAACAACTTTTACCTTTATTTTGTACGTTTTTTTATGAATAGCTCTTAATTATATGTCCTCTAGTAAACGAATATGTATACAATATAAAACATTTGTACAATACTGGTATATGTGAATACAAAGTAAATTGAGCATGTTTCAATTAAATTACTTTTTCATTTGAACTTTGATTGCGAACAGTTCGTCGATAGGTCACAAGTTTTTAATTGTCAAAAACATAGAAAATACCGAAATAACTTTATGAAAACGAAACTGCACCGTATTTGAACCGGAATCGAAACGTTTTAATTAAAACAAGAGAAATTTTAATATGTATTTATCTTATGTTTATTTTAAATTTATATCATATTTTTATTTCATATACCTTCTATGTAGATATATTGGTAGATTTTTAAAAATTTAACTGAAATAGGAAACAAGCTTACGAGCCCCCTGGTTATAAAGGGGTGGTCGTAGCTCATATACAATACATGTATAGCACCATGGATATCACGTCATCATTAGTCTCATATACTACCATTCCGGAAGACGTTGTGTCTCTATATCCTGTGATTAGATATAGCAATGAATCTAATCTAAAGCAAAGTGCTAGGCGGCAGAAGTAAGCGGAATAGAGCAGACTCTTTTACACAAAATAAATATTTTGTTTACTTGTGATCCTACTTGAGTAGAGATGCGACATACTGAAACATTTTTCATGTGTTGTAGACACGTTACACATCATTAACAGCGATACCTATCGATTTTCAGTTATTTGAATCCCTCGTGCCGAATTATATATAGAGATGACTGTTTGTAATTATTAGCGATATAATAAACCGTTTCTCTGTTAATTACCGTTTGTTTTCTATGCAATTACACCCAAGTCATTTATACTTAATTGTATTTTTTTTTCTCGTAATGAAGATGGAAGCAACAATTTGGTGGCTGGTGTTTCGAGAGGTGCTTTTTGGGCGATCATCCTTACGTCACTTGTTTTTGCCACAGCCGCTATTGTAACTGGTTATTTTCTGCGTAGAAAAAGGTATCCATAAAAAAAATTGGTTCTACTTTAGTACATTTTTTAATTGCTGTTTGTTTTTAGTGTGCGGGAATAAAATTACAAATAAATTATTTTTTTCCTTTCTGATGTCAGCTGTTTAAAAATACCTATAGGTGAACGATTTAACTTCAGTAAAGTCGATCGACGGGATCTGTAAGAGTTCCTACTAAATGGGACAACACTAGACTAGTTGGTTACTGGGAATCATAGGGTATGTCAAATTGGTCCGATCAACTCCATCGACTGATCATTTTTTACTATACAAATTAATAGCTTATTCAACGTTATATAATACCTTATATAACGTTGAATAAGCTATTAATTTGTATTAAGCTATTATTTACAGATGTTTACCATTGAATTCTAATACACAAAGTTCCTCCCCGCATCTGTCTGTAAGTAATCTTAAGTATAATATCAAAAAGTACTTGATGGATTTTCATGGGGTTTACATCTATCAACAGAGTACTTTCTGACGATAGTTTAGTTCCAAAATATAATATAATACTTTCTCACTCTCTTACGTTCGTTAGTATGTTATAAACAATAATGAAATAAATTATCAGCAGGCATATCTCCGCTTTTAAATATTTTAAAAATATAACAGTATGTATCTTATATTATTATTTACCTATATAAGAATCAACATAAAATATTCTACAGAATCAGACCACCCATGAAGCAACAGTCTTCGGAACTACAATTAAATGCAGGCGACAGCCAATATGTTGTAGCTTACACATTGAAACCTCCTAAACAAGCACAACCAGATATATTAAATCCACCACCTGATAAAAAAGGTAAACTATGTTTATTTAGTAGTAAGTAATGAGATTTGAATTAATTTTATAATAGGTAAAAATTAATAATAAAATAATTAATAAAATAACAGAATATACTTTGGTATATTTATTTTAATATATGAAAGTGTAACACCCGTATATACTTCCTGTAATTTAAACATGTTAGATACGTTGATTTGACTCAGTGAGAATATTAGATCACACTAATTAAAAGAATAGTTTTTATACTTGTAGATAATTACAATATATAAGCTACTATTTTTAACTCGTTCCACAATATCTTTGCTGTCCACGCTGTTAATAGACAACTTTGAAACAAAGAAAATAAAACTATGAGTGTTTCTGTTCTTGAAGAGAATTCTTTCTTCAAGTTTATTAGACACAATAGAAACTAATTTATATTTTCTCTATTATTCTCAGACTAGCACATAGCGCTGTAAAAATTAGAAACTTGACAATTTAGAAGAACATATTGTTGGGATTATGCTAGACACTAATTATGTAGGTAAAGTCGTAATAAGACCGTACCTACATAAACAGACACGAACACTTTCAGTAAACAGTTGAAGAAAAAATAAATAGTGTCAGTAGTATTTACAAACAATGTTTTATGTCGATTTTATTTTTAAAATGACTGCTATGAAAGAAGCAAGAGACAATAGAATGTCCAGTAACGTACGTATCTAATTTCAAAATTTAGAACTCCAATTTGTTATTTTTAGATGGCGGCCCTCCAAATGTGAAGTGTGGTATAGAGGTGGCTGTCAAAAATGGCCCTCTCGGTGAGACTGAAGAGTGGGCGAGTGGACTCGGCTCGCTGCACGCAACGGGAGAACGAAATGTCAGTATATAATATGAAAATAATTGCAGACGGCTTCGTACAGAATCTTTCAATTTTTATAAATCTTAATTTATAAAGAATTGTTCTTATTTTTGTATTAGCATATAAACTATATATTTGGTCATGCATAGTGAAAAATTACTAACAAAGTATTTACCGTATTACACAAATCCGTTATAGTCAACCGTTACAACTTTACACAATTTATTATTTGGTTTTTATATGTAAAATATTCTATAAATATTAATAAGGCTAACAACAACAATTAACGTAAATTGTTTATATGTATATATATATGTACCTTACTTGTGAATAATGGCAATGATAAAGAATAAAATAATATTCTTGGCATATTTAATATGTACATGAATGTGATGAATTTTATTCGATACAGCACTGAAAATAAAATTTTCATTGGTATTTCAGTCGCATTATACGGAAAACAGTCATATTATTAAAACAAGAAAAAAAATTATATATTGCTTAAACATATACATATTTATATAATGGATATGCTGTGTGATGTTATCGCTATTATGAATACTAAATATTCGTTATTTTTTTAAACTAATTTCATCTTAAAAAGTAAAAACGGATCTCACACAGAATAAAGAAATTAGTTATACTAAACAATATTTTAAAATATTCTTATAGATAAAATAAAAATAATATTCTTAAGTAGATTGGCACCATGTTTAAATCTAGTATATTTAATTAAATTATTTTTTAAACGTCATATCTTTATTATTTCTATTTTACTTTTTTGAGTTCGGGTAATAGTATCTATTAATAAACTATTCTACTTCTATTTTCATATTACTTATTGCCTCTATTATTGTTCGCAGTTATTATCTCCACCGAGGTCTTCGTCTGCCAAACAGCCAATATCTGGAAACATGACGTTAAGTAGAAGAGAGCATCTCATAGCAGAAGAGATACCAGGACCAGAGAGTTGTGTATAGAACCATTAGGTCAACGATAAAAAAAATAGCAAAATAATTATTGTAATTTTTGTAAATATTAATTTGTATGTATTGACTGTGAAAATGTGATAAATACATTTGTAAATAATTGTAAAACGAATTGAAAAATTAAAATCTGTTAAGTAATGAAAGAGTTTTATTCTAAAATAATTAGATATGACAACAGTGCAAAAACGAAAACTGTCTGTAATGTTACAACTTCATAATAGCTATTAGAAATAGATATATTCTATTTGATTAACAATTAACGTAATGAGATATCCTAGTATCCCAAGAGTTAAGATACGGTTTAATACAGTGATTCCCAAAGTGGTCTATGTTGACCCCCAGGGGTCTATGACAAACTGCAAGGGGTCTACGACAGCGGTCATCATGTTCATGGTCATGTTGTTTTTACTTTAAGTTTTTAACACTAAACTTTACTACAGTTAGAAATTTACAAAAAATCAATATAAGGAGTCGAAAAATATGGCAAGGGGTCTACAACACAAAAAAGTTTGGGAACCTCTGGTTTAATACAACCATTGTATGTAGTCACGCGTCTTTGTTAATTGGATATGCAAACGATTGTATGTTGATTATGCAATCACTAACAAATTAATCAATATATCACATCTGAAGCTTTCGAGTCAAGAATCATGACACTTATCAACTTTTATGAATATGCTGTAAAATCTAAGTAATAATGAATATTTCGTTTTTGAAAAATTAAGAAAAAATATGGGAACTAACTAGTTGCTAGCAAAGGAAAATCTGTAGGAAATAAAAAAAAATCTGCATTCAGAATAGTGTAAAAATACTATAATAATTGTTATAATCCACAAAAACCAATGAATAATCATTAATTAGTTTTTTAGGATAGTGATGGTGGATAAATGACAAATATATATATAGTATATCACTAATACCTCGAAACTGAAACCCTGACAATTGCAATAATAATTAAATTGGTTCTAACCTAATAACGAAGAATCTTAAATTGTTTCTTATGCAACTTCGAAAATAAGTTTAAGAAATAAATACTTTTTTAAATTAAATTCGTACTAGCATCTCAATTACATTAGGTGTAGCAAAGTATATGGCTAATGCAGCCGAACCGCCTGATCGGAGAACGGGAATTATGCAAACGACTCTAAAAGCAATCCCAAATGCACATTATGGCGAAATCTAGTGTAGCACTGATAGTAAGTCGATTGGTATCGAACATTGAACTAGAATTGCAATAAATAGATATTAAAATATTACTTACTTAGTATATTCAGATCTTATTTTAGGTTTATCGTTTTATGGAATCGACAGCGTGCGCATTTACCATTAGAATCCAATATTGAAGGCTGTATAAGTGTTATACATGCTTCGATATTAATATTCTCCAAAAAACTGTAGTACATCACTTTGCTCTATTGTCAATAACATTAGCATCGTACGCAATAAGAATTTTTATTTTGTATTTTCATTCGAATCCTTAACTTTTTGAAAATATTCTATAATATATTATAAGAATAATATAGGATTTCTAATGGTAATATAATTTTTCAAATCGGTACAGTAGCTTCGGAGCCTATTCAATGCAAAAAAATAATCAAATCACTCATCTGCTGTTATACGCGCTTCTGACTTCCTCATTTAGGAAGATGAGGTAGTCGGAGGCACTATCAACTGTTAGGGTTATGACAAACGCGACACTTGACTTTGACATTTCATAGGGTAAATTTTGTTTATTTATTTTATACTAAATCATATCGTAAATACCTTATAGACGAACATATATATGAATTAATATTATAGGTAATACTAATGTATTAAAATTGATTCTTTGATCATGGCAATGATGACTGCATTGTTGGTACCTTAGCTTATTACACCACGGTACTGTATATCGGCATCCACGATGCCCTTCGGCCAGTAGTCTTTCTTCATGAAGGTCTATGAAGTCCAACGTGATATTAGGCAAGTTTACCGAAGTCTCTCGAATTAATTTGGTTTGTTATCGTTATTTCTACAACGACTTGCTGTACTGACCACAAATTATCGAAAAAGACAAGGTAATGATGATTATTATTATCTTTTTTTTGGCGTTGGGCAAAATTAAACACACGATCTTTGAGGCTCAAAAACGTTTAATAAACCACTAGGCCATGACTATAAAAAATTTTTCAACAAAAATACAATAGTTAAAATACTAATAAAATAAAAATCAATAGCCATATTAAATACATTAATTTACCTGACTAATGCGACGCGCTAATCGTGCCACGTGAATTATGCAACCGGCCTCTAGGGCAGACCCACAGCGCTAAATGAACATCCACCGTAATCCGCCATCTGCCTAGTTAACCAATTAGGAGCAATCCGTAATATTGCATACGTGCGTCTCTATTGAAAATAACTGTTAAATTTTAACAACCATCAATTGTATTTATTAGGTTAGTAATAAAATATTGTTACTGAAAAGACAGAATAAGTACCGAGTAAATTGGTCCACAACTATCCATCTGTTTGGTGTTTCACGTCTTTTGTTTATGCTGTTTATATTTGGCAGAACTGTGCGTCGCCTTTATGCTATTGCGGCTTTCATTAGGAACTTCAACTAAATACACATTTAGGAATATAATGTGAATCTATTCGGAGTGCAACATATGAATGAATTCTATGCAAGAACGTAATTTTACAAGCCCGTCCGAAAATGTTAATTCTAAAATTATATTGCATAGGTTGATATATATGGTAAGATTATTAAAATAAATAAATATACCTATATATGTATATAACAGTTAAAGACTGTTATTCCACGTGGGGTAGTCAGAGGCATTGTTGACTGTCGTTGTCGTGTCGAACAACTTTACATGCCACGTATATTTGCATTTAGTGTAACATAGGGCGGGCCTCTATTTTTACTCAGATGAAATTGTCTAACATTCAATTTATACTCTGTAGATGATCCCATGTAGGTATATATTGCATACAAATACAAAGGCATATAATATATATCTTTAGTCTAGATTGTGAACGAACTGGAAGCTTATTTTTATGAAACTACGTAATATTTCTTCGGAATAGTTGTAAATGTCAGTTAAGAACACTAAAATATAAAGTATCGCGGACGTGCATTCTAAATGTATCTTGTGAGATTTAGCTGAGTTTCTTGGTTTCAAGTTATTTTGAAATTGATCGTTTAGAACAGCAGGTAACATTATTTATTATTGAACAAGCAGTTTGTTATGCATTACATTATATTAGATTTTATTAATAAGCGATAGAAGATTAAAATGGAATTGTTATTTGTGTCACATGTGAATTTATATCAATAGATCTTTTCATAGATTTGTATTATTATTTATCCTTTATTGCACTATTTAAAATAATGTAATTTTATATTATTACATATAAAAAAATATTGCTTCGCATATATATTGAAAATTATAATTGTAATCTTGGCATCCATTGCTATTATATCTATTCATGTATGCACAACATAATCGAACATCTATTAGGACGAGCAGAAGGAGGTGAATATATGATGTCGATAACATATATCGACATTCATATATTCACCATAATGTTCAAGTATGATTGTTTTTATTACTTAAATAGCAATTATTAAAGAAAAACATGTATCATTCCCAATTTGTATAAGTGTTTACTATTATTTAGATATACAATAAATACTTACCAAAGTAATTTTGGAACATCAATTATTATTTGTCTCATTAGACGCAGTGTTTTCCTCATAAAAATGAAAATCGAATCAATCGAATCAAATATGAAAACGTAATACACTGACATATTTATAATAATTGAATAGTATATCAATATTTTCATTAAAACAATTCGTTATTTAAAAGTGCATATAAAAGTAACAAGGATCCAATAGATTGTGCAAACAATATTGTACAGTGCATGCTTCCTATATTGAAACAAAAACGATGTAATAGGACATTTGACATCATAGAGTGAACGGACGAAAGCCTTCTAACTGTCCCTAGCTTCTGTTGTTCATTTTTCTTCCCTTTTCCGAGGCCAAACGGTAAAGAGAAACTTAATTGAAGGCTTTCCCGCCGACTCTCAGGCTCAATGAAAAATTACGAGGTAAACGAGTACACGTTTGGGAATTCTCGCTTACTCTCACCGAAAGAAATGCTCAGGCGTCTTTACGCAAGGCCTCTTTAAACTTAGATAAATGTAAGCTGACGAACGTAATTTCAATGAAATATACTGCTCATTAGAAGAGTTAATTTAATTCAGCTCTTTTAGTGAAATGTTTGAGGATGTGACACGCTTCAACGCTCCAAAAATACTCTACACTGGGAATATATACGCATGTACAAATAAATATATAAATCTGAAGTTTTTAGCTCTCCTTTTGACAAGATTTAAATTAATGTAATATACATTCAAACTATTGTTATAAAGATAAGTACTCAACTGATTAAAAAAAGGGGAAAATTATTGTTATTATCAAGTACTGTATTTTGAAAGTCGTTATAAATTAATAATACTCTAAAATTATATACATGACAAGTCGGATTCAAGTTGCCAATTTACAATAAATTATTGATTAGGTACTGTTAAAATTTACAGAAACAGAATATTTGAATCATAATGGATACCGGAAAGTATTATTTATATATAGAATTTCAAGGTCAATTTCTATTTTTTTCTGGAAACATTGTTCGCTTTAATATAATAATAATATATTTCATATATTAGTGGTTTAACGTAATGTCATAGAATTTAACACTTACATACTTGTGATTAAGTATTACCACAGATAATATAATATGGTATTACGTAAAAACGGTATGAGGAATTAGGTTAAAATTGTCATAAGAATATGAATTAACATAATTACAGGCAAAGAAAAGCTGAGGACAATTCCCACCCTCCGGTTAAATTAATGGTTTCCTTATTATTTCTCAATATTGTCTATTTATTTTTATTAACTCCCGAATTCAATTATCTATTATATCTTAAAGTGTCATTGTATCTGTGTGTCTGCATCGTAGCTTCAAAATTAATGGACTGATTATGATGCATTTTTTTGTTTGAAAGTTGAGGTGATACAATGTGTATTGCAAGTTATTAGA